TATTCTTGTCTCGTTGTGAACACATTTTTTTTTACTAAAGTAAAAAAGATCTTTCAGAATTGAAACCGGAAGAGATTCTCCTATTGTTATTATTGTGCATACTGGTCAAGTGGGACCACTGCCGCGATAAGTAATAATAATTATTATTATTATTTGTATTTTTTCACGCTGTTTAAAGAGAGAGAGAGAGAGAGAGAGAGAGAGAGAGAGAGAGATGTGTAGTGAGCATTAGTACAATTTTACAGTCCACTGTAGTTACAAGTAGATTTTCAGATTAATTCCCTCATTTATTATATCAGGCTGTCCTTTGTAATCATAATAATTTCTTTTTTGAGTAAATGTTTCAGTCTACTGCAGTGTAAAATTATAACGGTCAGTGGTAATTCCCTTGCTGTGGCTATGGGTTTAATCTTTGCCAATATTTTAAAGTTTCAGCTTGTAAATATAGACCTGCAGTACTACTCTGTAACAACAGGTGGCGACATGGACCGGGTTTCTATCTAGCCTTCTAGAAAGCTCTTTCCTCACCCGCCGCCTAAAAGCCTTAACTCTTTATAAACTTATTTCTAAAACACAACCGAGCCTTTTATTTTTAAATTATTTAACTGAGGGCGGTATTATCTGGTGTTATTTTAAAGTAAGCGCTGTTACGTTAAATAGTGGGCAGAGCTACGCAGAACACCACCGCCCACTGATGATTGTAGCAGGTCATGCGGCCTCCACTGTTTTGATCCACGGCTCTGACAGACAGGGTAGAGATGGCGGAAGACTTTAAGTCCGGGTGACTCTTTCAAACAACCCTGCAACTGCGATACATCTCTATTGTACCTAACAGGGCGGGATATTCTCCGAGAAGCTGGCGGCTTTGTACGGCACTCGGTTCCTCCCTGAGGACATGGAGATCAGGGCAGAGGGAGAATCGGAGGAGCGCAGGTGAGTGACAGGTTGGGCAGCGTTGGTATACGGCTAACACCCATGGTTTCATAAACAAGGCAACTAAAGAGTTATGTTACTGGTTACCTGTGAGCTTTGTTTAAAAAGATGACCAGCAGTGAACACATTTAAGCTGTGTCAACTGTAAAAAATGCGAGCCTAAGTAGGTTTGAACACTAGTGAAGAACTAATACCAGTATTACCCGTTAAGCTAGGCTAGGCTAACCTGACATGGTAAGGTTTGACAGGCTGGAGCTAATGGCTCTATCCCAAAGTCTTCTGGTTTATTATTTACTGTGTTGTAAAAAATATGGCGTTGTTAGAATGCACATTTGGAAGATGAG